ATATTATATTTTTCTTGAATTTTGACAGCTTAAATAATATTCCTAACTAGAAATAAGAAAAGGATGGCAAATTATTCAGTTATTATACAGACTGGCCAATTCCACTGCAATCAATTACATTACACTAAGGCTGAATTTGATCCAATGGTTGATTTATCTGGTTTAACTTGAAGTGATTTCTAGTTTAATATATTTTGTTTAAAAGAAAAATCCAATCAACACGCCTAGCTAAAGTTTAAAAAGGACTACCATATATCAACCCTAAAAGGTCATTTTTTTAACTTTTTTTCTGTTTATGTTCACTTCTCACATTTAGAAGAAACATAATATCCATAAGAGGAAAAAACTTCTTTTACCTAGATAAAAGATAACATCTAATCCTAGCTAATATTCTCATCCCTGCCTTTTCATTATTTTCAAGTCTCAGGAATATAACTATAATCCAGGTATAATGGCATTTTTTAGGCCAAGAAACAGAAGTTAAATGTCAATACCAGCTTAAAACTATTACTTAACACATATGGGAGCTGCTTGACTGACAGTCTTAACGAACACAATGGGGGTTAACACAAGACAGAAGGAAGAAAATAGCCATCTCAACATCAACCAGAAAAATACACCTGCTTTCATTTTTCCAGCTATTATTGTCTGGGATATCCAATATCCAAAAGTGGTGATCTTTATAGTGATTTTCCTGATTTTCGTCTTTTTTCTCTGGTGATCTTATTGATGGTTTTCCAGTTTTTCCTCTACATACAGGCAAATGTAGCTTAGCTTTTGGGGACTTGTTAATATATATATTTGTAAGGAGGCTTCTAGATTAAAGAAGCTGACTGCAGTATGAACATTATCACCTATATCAGCATGTGAGTGCTGATTCAGCAAGAAACCTAAAAAATTTCAGGGGTCCAACTGTCTAAAATCATTACCAGGCAGTGGCAATTGCTGTGGATAATCCACGGCAAAATCCCGTAACTGTATTGCTCATATGTTTCAAAATGTCTTGATTAAAAGGTCTGAAATTGAGAGCCAGAGGACATGTTTCTATTAAAGAAGTGGATTTTGTCACTGATTTTAGTGGCCTCACAAACTCAATTTCAGTCATTGTAAAGCACTATCTTGTGGATTTGAGAACACTACTACACCTCACTTTTGCCGTCGTGGTGTAACTCGTCTTTGTGCAGCAAGGTGGCTGCAGTCCTTCCAGCAACGGTGGCTACGTGCCAGGCCTCCACGCAAGGTGAGCGAGCCCAAGTAAAGGGCATTTCAGCTTAGGACTGAGCAGGATTAAAAGCAGGAAATCCATTTGTTAAAAGTCCGTCTCTGCTGTGAAGTGTCATGAACCTCTACTGCTCTTTTGAAGCTCTGACTTCAATGGGAGTAAAATTGAACAGAGCCTGGGCAAACACAGTGCTGTTTATTTACGTGGTATAATGTAAGTAAACAGCGCAAAAGTAATTCAGTGTTTTATCACAGCATGTAATAAGCCATTATCTCATGTTTTCTATGGAAGATAGTCTCAGCTGAAAAACTTCTTAACACAGTAGGCTATTAATAGGATGTAGAATGTGATTACGTTTTTTGGATTACTGCAATATGTGATTACTTTTAGGAGTTGGCAGAAAGAAACTCTATTAAATGATCATTATACAACTGTATTCACTTTAAAGTTCTGTAATAGACCCAAACATTGGAGTTTTCATTAACTGTTCTCCACAGTTAATAAAGCCATTTTTCTTTAAAACTAGCAATTCCCTCTGAAAGCAGTGGCATGGTACATAGACTACTCAGATTTACAACTGAAAAAAGAAACTTTGAATGATCATGTAAATTATTTGACTTGCAAATGATAACACACTCTCTCCGAGAACTTTTTTTATATGGAAGTACATAGAATTTTAACTTTTTTACTTTGCTCTCTATCATAACTTATTTAAAAAACAAACACAGAAATAGTTAAATTAACAACATCACTGCACTGAGGATTTGTACAAAAATTGAGGGAAAGACAGGATGGAAATGGATGGATTTCATTACACTATTCATTTCCTAGACATGAAGATTCAATCCTTAAATACCATCTTGTTGAAATAACCTTTTGCAGTTTTGTCAGGTACAGTCACTACATTCAACTGACATCATCATTTCCATTACAAAACATTTTTATCTGGGTTAATTTTGTTATTAAAAAAAAGAATTAATTTGCTGCATATGGAAAGGAAGGATTAATGGAATTGGCTGGAGTCAGGAACCATAATACCACTTGCCTGCAGCTGTATCAGAGCATCTCAATTCTGACCTATGCTTCCTCTGTTAGATTATAAAATCTAATTCATTTTTGGTTTGAAATAGTGACAATAAAATATCTTTTAAAGAGAAACTTGGCCTCAGGGTCTCAAGCAAAGAATACATTTTTATTTACTTCTCTCTAAAATACTTCTACTACCTCTCTCTGAAATATAATTCTCTCTAAAAATACATTCACCAGTTTTTCAAAAATTGTGCTTTACTACTTTAAAGAGAATAAATATACCCCCCCTCCACTGGATCCTTTATGAATTGCTTATGTATGTACAAGTGTCAAGCACTAGGCAACACTACTACTTTGATCCTTCAAGAATAACAGAAATTTTGTCTGGGAACTCTGATGATAATTACCCTCACTTCAGATGTGATAAAGATATAAAATATGCCACAACATAAGACTAGAGAGAAAGAAGTTGTTACTGAAATCATGTATCTGGATTATGTTGCTTTTTTGTACTCTGGCAATCTAGAATAAATTCTTTGGATTCATTATTTAAACCAGTTCAACGGAGTTCTACATTTCAGAAAACAGTCAAGTTTCCTTCAAACATTAAAGCTTGCTAATTAAAACTAATTTCTTAGAAGATGAAGCAGTTTTTACCCTGTGCAGGAAAATAACAAATGAACATTGAATGAGAATATCATATTGATTATCATTAAATAAATAGAATAAATATTTACAATCTGTCTTTTTTCTGCTTACCCCCCTCTGGCTTCCTCAAACTCTGGCAAGTTAGGTTCGCTGATGCTATTATGTTAGATGATCAAATAAGTTTTGACGTTCACCTGTGCTTGGGGTTTTTTTGCCTACAAATTTCTTACAACTTAACATCAATCTGAATGCAAGGCTATATTATATTTCATGAACAGAAATTTGGCAAAGGAATCAGAATACCCATATCCTGAGATACACTCAATCTGGGTATGTTTCACAACAGAAATCCACAGATGTATTTCCTGCAAAGGGTTAGCGTGGCAGTGATTTTATTCCATTAGGAATCTAGTCCATGTCTCTTGTGATCCATAATTTAAAAAACTAGCAAGCAGAGAAAGGTGAACAAATACAAGCAACCTAACAATTTTCCTGCCTCAGCTAATTTTAGCTTAGCAAGTAAGTTTTCTCTAGATCAAGGAGATCTGCCAATTACATTTAGTGAATGGTTTTGTCAATGTTTTTTACCCTCTTCGTGGGAGATAAAATGGCAGTGGATATTTCACGCAGAGTATTATTATGTAACTTGAAATAGGTATTCAAGAAAATGAAAGTGAGTTAACAAACATTATATTATTCCAAGAACACCCCTGTATTTCAGCTATATTTTTTGTCCTTTCCTCCCCTAAATCTCTGGAAAACAGACACTGTCAAAGTTAATGAAAATGCTGTTGCATGACATTATGTTGACCATTAGTTTTCCTTTGTCATTTCTTCGGACACTGGTATAAAGGGAATCTTCACACAAACCTCTGTTGTCTCTGAGTGTAAAATTTGGATTATGAATAATTTCAGGTGGTAAACTGAAGATAAATCTTGGTCCATTGGCCGAGTCATCCTTGTCATCAGCACTAATTGTAATAAATTGCTGTAAAAGAAAAGTACTCTGTAAACAAACAGTTCCTTCTCTAGTTACATCACATATAGACAGCATTCTGAGAAATCCCTTGAATACAAATAATTTTAAAATAGCAGAAACCCCCCAAATACCTCAATAAATGTATGCAATTATAAACACAGAGCGGACTCAAAACTAGAACAGGCAATCTTTATTTGCTATTACATTTAACCAACACAGAATTATAGACGGAAAAGTATACACCTATATATACATTCTTACATACAAATATGTGCTAATGATAACTTAGTAGACTAAATAAAATTATGCAGAAAATTCAGCAGCTCAGAGGGAGTTAGCACAATGTCCTTTCCAAAATGCTACACTAACTCCAAAAATGCAGATAACATGTAGAGCAGTATTTCTATATGATACTAACCCCTCTTCCTAGTTCAGGGATAAATCTGTAGGCTAAACCCTCCAAGCACTGTACTGTGATTCTTCCCCTAAGACGCTGAGTGTTTCTCTAATACCCAAAACAGTCTCAGAACTGGGAAAGCTGCTCCCAAACAGCTTCGTTGACCATGTGATAGTGGATACTCACAGTCAACACCAGTCGTATTCAATGCACGAAGGACTGTATCTATAACTGTTGATAGCAATTCAAAACAAAACCACAGGAAAGTGCCTTTCAGTGTGCATTAGACATTTTGGCCAAAATTTCAAAATAAACATTCGTTTACTACCACTCATTTGAGCTGCCAACACAAAACTGGGCTAACACCCTGAAGAAAGAAATTCATGTGCAGCGAAGGTTGTGGGCACAGGCATACCTGATTGCTTCGAGCATTCTCACAGACGAATGCTTCATAGGCTGCTGCAAATTTTGGAGCATTGTCATTGACATCAACGACCTTAATTGCAACTGGAACTTTGGCTTCCTGGTGTTCCTGGTGTTGTTTGTCTATGGGAGCAAGCAAAACCAAAATGAAACAGAAGCAGGAAAACCTGTCAAAACAAACAAAATCCCAGGTGTATCCAGGTAAAACCGAAATAGGCTAAAGTATTTCTATTAGGATTTATTGCAGCTTATCAAACTGAGACAATTAGAAAACTACAGAATTTATGCCATTGATTATAAAGTATCTCAGTGAAATACTTACGGACTTCAACTGCAAAGACAGAGATATTATGCCAAGCAATTTCTTCCCTATCCAAAGCTTTTATTGTCTTGATATTGCCATCTTCTGCATTAATAATAAAATACCTTTCAAGGTCAGTGTGACGATCAATTGAATATCTAAAGAATATTGAAAGTCAGTAATTAGATAAAAGAAGGACTTAGTAGTTTCATGCATCCAAATTTATTCTATATTGTTGTTATTTTTAAATAATTGTAAGTAGTACACTTATTGTTACCCTTAATATCATTATCAAAGGGATGATATGCGGTTCTTTTAAAAGGAGATTCACCAGTTGGTTTCTACATTTAGAAAAAATATTACATCAGGATGTTTGTAGTAAGTGAAAATTATTGTTCTTTGAAGTCTCTATATTAAAGCCCCAAAATGTTCTTTATTTGCTTCCCTTAAAAAACACGATAAAAATATCTACTGAGATATTTATGTTTTATTCTGTTTCAAAAGATCTGAAAAGATGTTTTAAGTCTTCTGATATTTGGATTACTCAGAATGTTAATTGATCATACCAGATTATTAAATATTATCCATTATCTACACATTTGTACAGCTTTATACAGCTCTGGTTTTTGTACCTTTACCTTGAAATTCTTTGAAATGTCAACTATACCCACAAAACAGAGTTTCATAATTTAATTTATACTGAGAACATGACAGACAAAAATAAACGAATAGAAGACTACCCAATGTAACTGCAGAAAGTAGGTGTGCGTATGTGCTAGTCATTAGCAATTAACGCTTAACAATTACCCAACATAATCTCTAATCTACTGCGTAGACTTCTATCTTTTGAGAAACAACATGCTGTGACAACAGCATAGTATATTCTATAGAAAAAATAATTTAGAATAGAGTCTAACACAGATGTCCTTAAGTATATTTTAGGTAGACATACCCATGGTATGCTTTCTTAGTGATACGGGCTTTGAGAAACTAGTAGCTTATGGAACGAGACATAAAAACAATGCTGTGTGGTTAAAGTTATTAATATTCTGGGTGAATTCAGAATATTACTATGCTAGATCTATCGCACTATCTTAATAACTTGCATAACAATTCTAAAAGCCTGCTCTAATGAAGCATACCTTATAGCACTGTTTGCAGCATCAGGGTCTTTGGCATGTACTTTTCCAACCACAGTACCAGATGCTGCATTTTCTTGTACTTCAAAAATATAACTTGGTTTTAAAAATACAGGTGGCTCATCAGCATCTTCCACTGATATCTTCACTGTGACTGTGTCCTTGAATGGCCCATTGCTGATGAACTTAGGATCAATATGTACATTGGCTGCCTCTACCTTCAGACTGTAGGACTTTTTGGTTTCAAAATCTAAGAGCTGCAAGAAACAAGACGACAATGCATTCCACAGTTAGGAAAACTAGCGTGTAAAAGCAGTAAGCAGTCCCCTAGTATTCAATGACATAAAACAAATGTGAGCATCTGTCAACAAGCTTGGACTGAAATGTGAGTATTTAAAAACATAAAGACTCAAATGGAAGGAGCTACATTCTATGTATGGAGCAGCATACGAAGGCACTCAAAATATCATGACATAGTCCTTATCTTGCTCTTTGCTTGCTGTATCACTCGGAAAATCATCTTTACTGGGAAAATTAACCTTTTCTTCATGCAGCCTTCCAGATAGCACAAAAGAGCAATGGATAGGAAAGGGGTTCCCACAAAATGCCATGCTTGGTCTATCCCAAGCTGGCAGGCATTCCTTTAGAGATATGGATATGGCTTGAATTGCTACTGGGCGCACCATGAGGTCGGACAAAGAGAAGTTAAATTATTTAAGTAGTAGGGGAAATATGAAGATGGTTTGCACTGCTTTCATTTCTGTAGTTGTTTTCATCCATAGATCTCGTAGCACTTTACAAAGGGGAGGTAAAATAACGCCCCATGAGGCAAGCCCTTTTGGGAGCCTGATCAAAGTCACAGCATATCTGCATTGTCATCAACATGAAACAGTTGCAGTGTTGCAGTATTGGTAACCTCACAATTATCACGCCTCTAAATACCTGAGAAGCAGGTGCCAAAGTATGCTAACACCATAGACTGAATGGTGTGACAGTCGACCACTTTGAAGTTAAGTTGCCCAGGCCTTCTCCTCTGAGTTTTGATTATCTCCAAGAGAGATAAATAGCTATAAATATACAAAGGGCAAAATAATAATGCTTAAATAATGAATAAGATTTATGATTTATAATTTGTAATTTAAAATTCATTCAATAACACTTTTAAAGATGACACTGATGGATTGTATATGAAATCGCCTCAGCATTTTTGCTGCTTTTCACATAGCCTGTGACTCCTTCAGAACAATATCGTGGACAATGCACAGCTGAAGAATTCAAAATATAGGGCATGAGGCTGTTCAGACCGAACATAAAGCAACAGTGAATGTCTGCTACTTATCAGCGCTAGGCAAAACTTCATTAACAATGAAGCTGATGGCATTGTATTTTACCGTGACTTTTTATTATGAATTCATTTAGTTTGTGCAATTAATCCACTGTACAGTATTTATGTAACTCTTCTTGGTTATTTTCTTCCATTCCAATTCAGCTAATGGGGAAATGGAATACTAAGAGTTAATCACAGCTTTAGAAACAAATTAAGTGAAATTGCATTTACTTATAATTTAGCTTAGGTGGTAATCCATTATTACCAAATATTCTGGCAGCAGCAAAGGATACTACACATCAGTAGGTATTCACTCACCTTCTTAAGCTTTACAACACCTTCCTGAGTCTCATAATCTGTTGTAATTTCAAACATATCCATGCCATCTCCATCAATGATGCTGTAAGCTACTAAGCCATTTTCCCCAATGTCTGGATCTTTGGCCTTCACTCTTCCTACTTCCTCTCCTGGGACAGCTGCTTCCGACACTGACATCTGGTACACACCTGGTGGAAGAAAAAAAGGCATTTGCATTAAGTATGCAGTCTGCTCTCCTTGTATATTTATTCATTTAACTCGTAAGCTCCAAATAAACACAGTAATTTTTTACATTTTCAAATCCCCTGAAGGAATGTTATGTTATAAAGAGCTCTGAGAAGCAAGTCATCTGTGAAATCTTAAAACACATTGCTAATCTATATAAAATTACCTCCTCACTTATGGTTTACACAACATCTGTGTATCTCTCTGTTCACCGTGGGGTTAAAAAGACAACCAATCATTCAGAATGCAGAAATTGTTGTGACATCAAGGTTATCATTCATATCAGAAATGTTATTACAAAATGGAAGGAAAATTCTCTTTCATGTGACCCATGGTAGAGTCCAGAAGCGTTTCTGCCCATTCATTCAGGAGCCACAAATTATATACAACGAATTGGATAAGACCTCTCTGCTGTGCTGGCTGAAGAATAAATCTGCTATTTTCTATGGCTTTAATTTGGAGTGTGAATGTATAGTAGTAATGATTATTAAAATTTAACACAACAGAGAATACATACCAATTTGTATGAGATTCCACACCAAACAAAAAATGGCTGTCCCTCATCAAATGCCAATAGGAAAACCATCCCCAAACATCCCACAGATGTGTTGCCATACAGGTTTTTCCTTGTGTATTCAGGGACACCAGAGGAGAGCAATACTGTTCCCTGGATAAATCTCTCTCCAACAGTTGTCCTTTAGGCAGCATTGATTCCAGGACCTTCCCAACCCACTACAGAGTTCAGGTAACATAACCTGATCTTAAATGTACAAATCTGTATCAGCATTTTCTGCCACTTCATCAGCATTAATAAATTGGGGGAAAAAAAACATGCGAAAACAAAATAATCTAATTTATCCCTCCCTCCATAATTGCTCTTTGTTGCTACACGAGCACCCTAGGAACATCAGGAGACTTTCACCAAGCAGGGACTTGGCTCATTGCCCATAAAAACAATTGGCACATGTCATCGAAATAGGTCATTAACTCCAGTTACAAAGAACCCAAAATTTAAGCACATAACTCATCAAGGGTTTGAACAATGAACAACAACAAAAAAAAACCAAACCAAAAAAAAAAAAGAAAAGAAGAATTAAAAAAATCAATCATTTGGGTGTTTATATAAACAGGTCAAATCCTGGTTTTGAGTTACAAAGCATTCCAAATTAAGGCTTTAAGTTGTGGGTGAATGATTAAGTAGAGTAGCTGCTATTTGGCATTTCTGATAATTTTAAATATTCTCCCAAAACACTCAGTAAAGTGGCTTGAAATTGTAGAAAAAAAAATCCATCATTTGATGAAGTTACTCAACAAAATACCATGTACTGGGGTCCCAAGTTATGATTTAGAGTGAAAAGATATGTTTCTGAGGTACGTAAAACCTGACATTTTTAGGATTTAATACTTTTCTATTAGAATGGTAGAAAATGCTGACATAGATTTTTACATTTAGGGACTAGCTATGCCATTTAAGCTCTTGCATGAGGGTCCAGGAAGCTGCCACATTGGAAGAAGAGCTGTTGGAGAGCTGTCATGTCCAGGACGTATCAGTGTCATACTGGTAGCTCAGAGGAGAAACAGGGTGTGCTGGGATGGTGCACACACTGCACTCCAAAAAAAAAAACCCCATGCAGACATGAGATGCAGAACAGATGTGTGGGTCCACTAATGTACTTCCACCCAACTGTGAAGACTGAATCTGTTAATGTCAGCCCTAATTAATTTTATATGTGAAAAATAAACAGCACAGGTATAAAAAATGACTATATTTGACCACCAGCAATACATTTCAACCATCAATTTAAAAATGTAATTGTACTAAATTTGGTTTGTATTGCCATGGTAAATGTAAGTCTTGAGGAGTATCCAGTCTTAACTGTTATCCTTATGGACATTCACCATTCACCGAGAGTGTTTATAGAAATAAAGGATGAAGCATCAACACTTAAAATGAAAGGCTATGTGAAATAAAAAATGATGCTCAGTCACTTGAAGGTCTGTCAAAGACCTGAAAGGGCATAATCAAGAGCTGTTAATAAATTGTGCAACACTTTCATCAAGGGCCAAGAAAAGCAAAAGACTGAGAAATACAGCTATAAGAACATAAAGTAGATCTCCTTTCCCTTGTCCATCTTCATTAAAAAACAAAGTGGATTTGTTCATTGAAAATGACTATCATAACTATGCTTGCAAATAGCTATGAACTTGGAGTACTGAAAGGCATGAGATGAGGCCACCTGGAGACTTCTTTCAAACACTGTAAATCTAACTGGAGAGCTTTCTGCTGCATACATGCGATGTGACTACTGCACACTGCAACTCTCCCAACACAGAAGAATCTGTTCCTACACAATACATGAAGGGATTTTTGGTTTAACCTCCTCCTATTTCCCCGCAACAATTTCTTAAAGTTCTTGTGGTTTGAGCAGAGTAGTAAACACAGCTTGCTTTTTTAACGTATCTTTTACATCCACACTATAATTATGAAAATGGGAAAGGAAGTAAACCAGCTTATCCCAGCACTGCTGCAGGGCAGGTACATTTTCTAGTATTTTTGATCAATTTGGTTTAACACACAAGACAGCGCTCAAGAAATGGGCCTTCTTTCTCCATTAACAGAGAAGTCCAGACTATGTCTCCCTGATCATATCATAGGTATATTTCTAATGTGACATGGTCCAGTAGTTTCAAAAATGAAGTGTAGGGTTAGGAATCTTCGTAATCTAATCTTGACCTCAAGAAATGTCTCACTTTGCAACACAAAGCAAATAATGTGGATGCTAGAGCTCTATATGTTACTAGCAAAAATGTGTAAATAATATTTACCTATTCACGTGTGTGCTGTGATAATCCATCAGTTACTGCTTTGTGAAGTTTTGAATATAGAATCATAGAATCATTGAGGTTGGAAAAGACCTCTAAGATCATCGAATCCAACCGTCAAATGTCTGATACTATACAAATATGGGTACTGGTAGTAAATGTGAGTAAGGATTTTGCTGTTACTTACTCTGTGGGAACTTTGGTGGATTGTCATTGACATCTGTAAGTGTAATTGTCACTTTGGTTGTCCCTGAGAGGCCTCCCATGTGTCCTCCCATATCTTTTGCCTGTATTACAACGTGATACTCTTCCTTAGCTTCTCTGTCCATATTCGGAAGGGCAGTTCGGATAATTCCTATAAATACAAAGAAAATATGGCACATACAAATTTTCACAGGTTCACATAATGAAAAATTGGATACTGCTTTTTTAGCTTGCATTAAAATACAGCAAAATTTCTAGTGATGGTGTTTTACACTGTGCATCATGCCAGGCAAGGAAAGTAGCCCAAATATTCAACACAGTTGAACACAGAACAACCCTGGAGAATTACAGTTCAGCACAGAAACTCCCATCTCTATCATACCATATCATACCACAAAAAAAATAGTATCATCTTTCTAGTGTAGTGTACCCAGAAGCTCTACCAAATGCCAGGGGACCAACCTGCAAAAGAGCTTAGCTAGAATCAAGAGAGAATGAAGAAAGCTTTGCTCAAACACATCAGTAGATATACCCAACTGTACTGCCTCAGTCAATATATTTAGTTTTTCATTTTAATGTATTCCAGTTATGAGGTCCTACTCAAATAAACTGCTCAATAATACCTGTTTGAGCTTCCACCGAGAAGTACGGCTGACCTTCAAGAATACTGTAAACCAATTTGGCACTGTTCCCATAGGTAGGATCATCAGCATCTGAAGCTGTTACCTGAATAACTGATGTACCTAAAAATGGAAAGCAAACACAGAAGGGATACAGTCAGAAGGAAACATGCCTGTAAGAACGGTGCAGAGATGTCATACGGCATAACTAGTTCTTACTTTTTTATTTCCAGGTTTGGTAAGTGAAAAAATTTACTTGGCAATTTATATACGACAAAATAGACTCATACAATCCAAAAGGTTTGTCACCAGCTGTGATGTGGATTAATGTTCTAAACAGTGAAGATATAAAAGTCAGCAGTCATTCTGTACCATTATGGGTTTTTTTCCTCAGTAGCTTAAGCGTTTTATTGCTTTTATCGTTAGACAGCCAAAAAATAGTTTTCTTTTTATGTTTTCCTCAGTAAGTGTCAGAGAAATCATTCCTGTAGAAATCTCTGAGATAGACACAAGCTCAAACAGGAGATGAAAATGGAATAGATAATGTGGCAGTAACTCCTTACACAGCTCTGCCAAAGGAATGATCTTGATGTTTACCCCAGAGGATTCACACTCCATAAATTCCAGGGGACCCTCACGTTCCTTCCTAGGAGGAAATAGTCCTGTTCTAGGAACCATCTAGAGACACTTCAACCATGACAGTTAGTAGCTGTGCAGGGTTTGATTTGGTCAGCAAATTAGATAAATTGACTGAGTCACTGGCTGAGCATGAAGTAAATTTTACTTCCCAAAATTCTAGACGATAAGAATTAAATAAAGCCAAGACGTACTGACAATGCAACACCTTCCATAAGGCCAGGAACTGAAGCGTATTTATGAGTACTTACCTACATTTGATCTCTCTGGCACATTGGCATGATAGTTTTCATGAAGAAACTCAGGCGGATTATCATTTATATCTTGAACTTTAACAATGAATTCTGAAGGTGGTTCCAAAGGTCTGTTAGTGTTCCTGTCTACAGCTTGTGCCGTGAGAGTGTACTGAGCTCTCTCCTCCCGGTCCAGTGTCTTTGTTGCATGGATGTTCCCTGATTTGTCATCAATAACAAAAATGATTCCTGCTCCTTCACCTGAGAGAATATATTTAATGTTTCCATCTCCAGAATCAATATCTGAATGAAGCTGCAAAATGAGAAACAGACATAATTTAACAAGACGGTATACATTTCACGTATGTGTTTATGAAACAAAAAAGTTCATGGAATTACTATTATTTAACAGTTTTCAAAAATCTTGTCTTACATCAGGCAATAATCCATACTCGGACACATGCTGTGAGCACATCTGCCCTGCATTCAGAGAAGCTGCCTGCACAGACTTGCATGCTACCGCACGTAGGGTGCTACTGAAACTCAAGCTTTAACAAAGAAAATACATGAGAAGATAGTTATAACAGGTTCTTTATGCAAATGAAGTTGGAAGGAAGAGTGATTTTTACAAAGATTTTGTACACTTCATGCTAATCATATTCTACCAGGTTGCATGTAAAAAGCTGTTAAGTGACAGATGGCATGTAACGAATGAGCCAATCAGTGATTGCCAACTAGTTTTTAATTACAACCTCTTTAATATAAAAGAAGTAACAAATGCTTACTAAACATTCTTACTTTCACAACCAATGCACACTTCACTTTGATAATGAGGGAAACACTGAGCCAAATTATAGATTTATTGATTTTATATTGACATCTACAAATTGCACAATACTAACATCTTTTAAACCAGAATACCCAGAATGGTATTCGCTGTCATCGATCCTGTTCTCTGCTCTGTTGTGCTGGGGTTAAGTCAACACAGTTCCGCTGACCACGTATAAACTGGAAAATATACTGTTTTATTTACGTATTTATATTCTGTTACTGTTAGACAGTAACAGAACAAAAAATTAGTCCAGGATGTGTGTATATACACATGTGCACACAGATATATATGTCCCTCTATACATACCCCTCATATATTTAATTTTTCATTCAAAGACTGCTGAGGTCAAAGGAAAAATTTGTATTCATTTAGGTAGTATTTTGCTTAGCACCTTAATTGAGCTACAATAAAATGATTAATTCTAGGTGAGTAAGTAGCTGCTGAAGCAGCAGCTAATACAACAGAAAAGCAATGGCAAGAAAAAAAGCAACTCACAAAATCATAATATAAATTAATAACTATTAATCGATGAATGAAATTCTTTCTTACCCTTCCTACTAGTACAGGATCTGGTCCTGTATACTCTTCTATAACAAAGAACTGATTCCACACCCAGCCTCTTTTTGAACGATGCAGAACTTGTCCTTCTTTTCCTTTTTCATGGTGACCATGAAGTGATGGCCTTGCGTGGTTTAGTTTTTCTGTAGTTACGGCATGGCTGTAATACAGCATGCCCAGGCAGATAAGAGCGGCATGTAAACAATTGTCCTCCTTCATTTTTGGTTATTTTGTAGGCACAGGAGTATCCAAGAATCTACCCCTTCCACCTTGGAAGTCAAAAAGTTTGGGGCTACTGAAAAGTTTCAGATAAAATGTTCTGCACATAGGATGCCACCACACACTGAACACATCACTTTAATGCTCTGCAGCTTCCCAACTTAATTCCTGAAAGAAAGTAAACCGGAGAAGATTGTCAGTTCTTTTATGTCTTTGAGGTGCAGTGATATTTTTATTAAGCAAAATAAAGCTAGGACCACCTTGGAAAATTTGAAGATAATAAGAATATTAAAATATATTAATAATTATGAAATACTGAGTAATAAGCGTATTTGGTGCTTTGTTGCACGTAACTGCCACCTTGTAAAATCTCCTGACTTGCTGTGCAGGGCACTCATTTGGAAGTTGAAAGACAGAGAATCATATTCTCTCATGATCCTTCCAATTGGATTTAGCCCAAGACGCGAGGTAACTGTAGAAATACCTAATTTATATCTAAGGCCTCTTTGGAGTTTAGATATAAGCCTTAGCTATAAGCCGTTAAGCCATAGGTTTAGATATAAGATAGATACCAAGATACTTGCTTATCAAGAATGGAATATTTCTACACATGCTTGGAAAAAGGCCTTTTCATGACCAATAGATTTTCATGCTGAAAATAACTACCTATGTTTTTCTAGGCAGGAGCAGTGGTTGACAGAACTCTGAGGACCTATATTTTGGATTTAGACCCTTGAAGCAGCCCTCCTACCTCCCTCTGAGGATCAAGTCATCAAAGCGGAGAAGCAGATTGATTGCCAATTCTGCTGTCTTTGTGCTGATGATGATAAATGTCATAAACCAATAAAAACATATTCAGATACTTCTGATAATATAGCAATTGATTTGGCTATTTATTCCTACTTTCCCTGTGATTTAAATTACCAGAATTATATTGATTTCTTACTTTCTAATAAGTCTTAAAACACTAGGTCAGAATTAATATTTGAAGTAGAAATTGCATAATGTGGTGAAACCTGAACTGAGGTCTATACCTCCAGCAGCTAACAATCCATCATAAAGGCCACTTTGACTTATCCCTGGGGTTTCAAGTATATTCTCCTTCAATCCCTACAAGGTGCCTACAATGTTTGTTTCAGCTTTCAGTGTAATTCACTTTACTCTTCTGCAAGTTAATAATAAAACACTCAATGTTATATTCATACAGGCATATGCATAAATATATGCTACCATCTTCTTTAAAACAGAATAATTTTTTAATGAGAAATAAGGAGATCTTACACATAGTATTTGGAGCAGAGAAAATGTGAATATAGGCAAATCTTGAACCTACATCACATTCTATAACTCCAGCAACAGATAAACATCTCAGTAGTACCAAACCTTGGGATGCCTTTCTCAAATCCTGAGCAGTCATGTCCTCCCACCCATGTCCCTTTGCACAGTTACACAAAAATACACACCCAACGTTGACAGACATGGGCTTATAAATAAGTAATTAATAAATAAGGAATGAAATATTTGTTTTTATTTCCTCAAAAAAAGCTAATCTTTAATTTTTATTTTATTGAAAACTGAAATCACCTCAATCACAACACCACAATGGCTCCAGCATAATGAAGTAAGTGACAGTCACACGTATAGATGCAAACATAACCTGGCTTTCCTAAGCATATTTATTAAGCACAACATTTGCTGCATCCACTTTATTTTTTACTATTGTTATATGATGTCACATTGTTATCTGATGTCTCATACCACCATAGAAGACATGAAAAAGGAAACAATCTCTATTATTTTCGTCAGAAAAATGCTTTTATTCTGACACAATATGTGTGTACAAAGTGTGGAGCATTAGGTCTGTGGCTTTAGAGCTTATTTTGTATCTCCATTTTGTTGAGGGATAAAAATAAGGTAGGACTTAAAGGACCCAAAAACTGAGATTTAACCTACGCTGGAAGTGGCTTAAATACGAAAAGCCTTTCAACACTAGTTATTATAGTGGCTTTCTGTGATAATAGTTAGTTCCAAAAAGAAAGGGCACTTCCCCCCCTGCCCAGTTCTGCACAGAAGAAATAAAATTGAAGTCCCTAGTACTTACTTACCAAGCTTCCCTATCATTTAACTTTATTAAACCATAGTAAGTCTTTTTAAATACAAGCCATCAAATTCTCTACTCATCGCACAGATGTAAAATGAGTTATTCTGTCCTGTTTAGTAAACACCTCTGGATTTACATCCTTGTGGCAGGTGTAAATTTAACCCCACAGCAAGCAGGCTCTGAGGTTACCTCTTTTGGCTGCTTTGCCTACAGAAATTCATTGATGTAACCAAATTCTACATATTAACGCCAGTTCAGTCTGCTTCATAATTGCGTTCAGTTAATCAATGATACTGCTGTTTCAGATGTAATTTGCTATAGAGTGTCCTTTGAGCCAAATAGTCTTCAATGCCATGCCCAGTATAGCTAATTACGCTGGACAAGTACACTTGCTATAGAGATCTATAGCATGTTACTCGTGTGCAGCAGTTAGAGGTGCTTGGGCTCTTGGACTGTGAAACGGGGCGTACGTGTTCCAAACAGAAATGAAATAGGAAGGTACGCCTAGACAGCTGTGCATTTTTAAACCTGCTGTGAAAAAAAAAAAGTAAGTAAACTGCTTACATTAATAGATTTTGGACACGTTTGAAAATTAAACTCACTGATAGTTATTCTTCATTAACATCAGATAACGATCTCAACAATGAAAATAAGTAAACAAATATGACCATTATTCCCAAACTCCTCAATACTGTTATGTAAATCAGTAAACACTTTATAAAGATGCTTAACAATAATGGAAGAGCCAAGCTGATACATACGCTGCTTATTACCAGCTATTCAAATGTGAAGTGCTGGAAACAAAATATTAATCACACATCCATGCTTAATTTACTAATAAGGATTTAAAGCAAAAATTCTTTGCTACCTTTTGTTTTATCCTCTGCATATACATGTATAGAGAGGAAGCAATAAGCTACATATCTTCAAGACACAGAAAACTATTATCTCTCATCCACTACTTGGGCTCAAAAAAAAAAATCACTAAGGATGTTTATGGTAATTGCTCCTGTTTTGAATTATAATGTGAAAGGACTCCATGCTAGTAATACCAAGTTGGCTCTTTAGTAAGTGACCTACTGCTAGATAGGCTGCAATTAAAGCTAGAGCTGCAGGCAATAAGGTCTCCCTGGCCTCCTCGTGCCCCTCTCGCCTTCTCCCTTCCTGAAGTTCATGCTCTCTGTTCAGTTACATAGTGTTTGCCACAGCGGTAAGCCCTCTGACTCCTATCGGCATAAGAAAAGCTAGTAGAATAAATCAACAGGGTTCCACTGAAGTCTATGAAACTACTTAAATTCAAAACAGCTACAGTTTGGCTTTTTATAAACTACTTCCTTCCTAAAAGGCAAGGTGCACAAGATGCTCTTAAGTTAAAGCTAAAATAAACTTCATTACAAAATGAAGCAGTATTATTAACGAGAAAGAAGTCGGAGTTTTTTTTCTCTTTTTTTCCAAAACAATCTACTTAAAACCTTTCAAACGTTTTAACGTTAACTCAGCTGCTGTAAGCTGCTGTAAGTTTCCTAATTCTTCAAGCAGAAAATATGGGAAATCAGCTAAACAATTTATAAAGCAATTCCTGTAAGCATGGAACACAGGTCAGAGGACGGCAACTGCCACAGCTGACCGGACTGCTGCTCTGGTGAGCGTCCGCAAATTCTCTGTGTGCAGCACTTCTATTCAGACACTGCACAACACTACACAGATAGTGAACTGTCAGAATGATTTGCTGGGAATGTTTCTATTCTTTTTTAAAAAATCACAATCTTGGAGATATCCTCAACGTTATTGTTATTTCTGCACATAGATTATATTCCTCAACTGCAGCAAAGCAAATGTCAGCGGGCAGTTGACCAAACTGCAACATCCTGATTTTTTCCATTGTTGTTTAGAATTGCACAACATGTAATTTTGAAATCCTAAGTTTTCCTAAGAAATCTGTACAAAAATCTGTTTCCCACTTCCTTAAACGTAATGGATGCCAGGTTTGGACTTTTTCTCAAAAGGAAGAATTCCATTAACATATTTTAACCGCATACAAACAAACGTTGGCAACTTTGGTACTGAATAATAGCTCTATCAGGGATAAAGGGAAAACAGAGTTAACCAGCCACCAGAAGATCAAGTCACATCAGATAGGCACATGAACGCAGTGAGACTCCCTAATGTTGCCCATGTAAGTTGATCAGTCAAGGTATGCAGGACTGAGAAATGTTAGAACAATATCTAGTCCACACTCTGAAAAACAACATACATGGTGAGGTGTATATGCAAAATGTTTGCATGGAAATAGCAGATCTCCCTAAATAATTTTGAGAACGTGCCTTCAGGGCACTTCTAGCTACATTGATAATATACCTATATTTTGTACTTGTAGTTGTTACTTAGTTCTGGAAACACAAAGCTAATAATTTTCAATTTTAACATAAGAAAAGTCTGTTTTTCTACCGCTAGAAAATAAAATCCATCAATATTCCTAATGGAAATATGCTATTCAACTAATTAAGTACACATCTATCTACCTGAAAAATGATATAACCATGTCCACAGACTACGGCACGGACTGGAGCCAGGGTCTTGACTGCCCCACAACGCATCCACTCCGCTCTCCTTGCGCACCCTCGCACCGAGAGACCGCAAGGCGCAGGGACTCGCGTCGTGCAGCGCAGCACCGCAGAGGGGGGGCGGCGTGGGGTCATTCCTACCCTGACGAGCTCAGCGAAAAAGTCAGTGTGCTCTACAAAACTTCGCACACAAATTTGAATGACTGCTTATAGATGACTAATAGACAAAACCAAAGAGCCAGCAAAGATTATTTTAATGACAAGACCAGTCGCGGAAGTGAAGTCTAGCCAATTTTAAATTTCTTTCATTATATTTATAGCAAAAATAATTCCAAACATTCATGCTGACTTCCTGTGTGCTATTAAATGGCCATATGCCAAGTTATAATAGACTAAACAATTTTTCTGATTTGTCTAGGCCATAACTTCTGGATGATACATTAAAATAGCAATTGTTCTCAGGAATACACTTGGCAGAAAGCAGTCAAGAGCACAGTGTAGCA